TTAAGTTGAGCACTAGTTGTTGTTGGGGAAAGGAAAAAACGTCTCGCCCTGAATCCATGAAGCCGTGATAACAACAACCTTATTTGAATTTTTAACAGGGCATGCTAAGTTAGCCAGTGGAAGGCCTCGGTCGGGTGCCCAAATGCTCCTGTGGCAGGTCATTCCATGACTAAGTCACTCGCATGAAAACACTTGTCTGTTTCCTGTCGAAGCTTATCCAATTAACCTTGATAGAGCTTTACACAGAGCGACAAAAAGACCAGAAGTATAGAGGGTTTTACAGTTTTTATCTTCTTGTATATTACGTTTGAACACTGAGAAGAATTTCTTTAAAATTAGGATTTCAACTTCTTTCAAAATTGTCAGAAAATATTAGAGCTTTTGGAGAAGATATTATTGTGGCAGAGATCCAGGGAAGTGTTTCAAGGAGAGCTTTACTTGCTTACGACGGAGGGTCGAGCCTTCACCAGTAATTGTGCTCAGTGACTCACTATAGTGCTTAAGTCCTTAATGCATTACGTTGGAATGTAAATAAACCAGATAACACCATCTTCAAATTGCTAAATGATATCACAGTTGAAACTGTAATAAGATTTAGTAAATAAGTAAAAACGGCAATTTATAATTAAAAATTATTTAAATAATTCTATGAATGCTTCGGTCTCAAAATATCATTAATACACTTTGTTATATATAAATATTCTTCATTATTAAAAACAGTGATGAGTATGTTTTAAACATAATGAACTTTGACAGTTCAGTTATGGCACCGTAGGAGTGTGGCATAGCGGCTGAGTGCCGAGTGCCATAGTCAACACACAGGTCGCACAGAAGTGCCACGCACACATATTGTGTCTTACATAAAAATCCAGACATGTGAGAAAAATCAGTAATGCAACATGTATGATTTATTTAGTCTAAAGCGTTGTAGGGAGAAAGTGTTTTTATAAACATGTTCTTAACGGATAATGTAATTATACTAGAAGTTCACCTCAAAAATTACGCCCAGCTGGGCAAATCCCTCGAAACTTTACTGAGCGTCTACAATGATAAATACTGGCTCCCTGACCTTCGTGTGTTAGTGTGACTTATAAATGGTCAAAGTCGGACGTGAAAGAAAAGTCGTTATAAGCTTCTCTCTCTAAGTGAGGGTTATTTGTAGAAGTTTAAAAGTGTATGCAAAGTTGTTTTTATATAAAGCTACTTACGATGAGTTTGTATATTCTGACAACACATCGAGGGACCATCAAACATTTAATACTTTACAGTTCTACATTTATATAAGAATAATAATAATAATAATAATATTAATAATTATAATAATTATATAATAAATTAATTATAAATAATAGGTTATTGGACCTGCTTTCACTCGACATCCAAAGTTATTGTTTTCCAGTCACCAACCCGTTCCTGGTAATAATTTATCGACTTATTTGCTTTTTCTTGGCTCGCTTTAATGGAGCGTAGTTTTAAAGAAGTGTGTTTGTTAATATTAAGAGGGGACAGCTTAGTGGCGCTGGTGTGGCGCTGCCTCCTGATGACTTGTTATATCGACGACAAGCTAAAGCTTACTTGCCTTACCTCCAGTAATGAAACAAGGCACGGTGAGGGAGGTGGAGTGAGGGAGGTGGAGTGAGGGTGGTGGAAGTGAGGGAGGTGGAATGAGTGAAGGTGGGTGGGGAGGTGATGGAAGGAGAGATGGTGAGAGGGGTTGAGACTGAAGGTAGATGAGGGACAAAGAGGGGTACAATGGAACGGTGTGAAAGACAGGAATGAGGAGAAAGAAAGAGAGAGAGATAGAGGGGTGAGAAAAAAAAAATTGGGGGGGGAAAAGCAGCGAAGGCAGGAGGGAGAAAGGGTGAAAAAAGGGAGTAATGAGGGGTGGAGGAATCATAATAAATCCAGTTTTATGAACCAGACGCACACCAAAATAACAAATACATATAGTCATAAAACGAGGGTCCTGGTCCCGGACCCGGGCCCCACCCCCAGGGCTGCGGGGGCGTTGATCCCCGAAACTTCTCTCCAGATATACTCCAGGTTAACTATTAATTGAAAGTGTTGTACGGGTAAGCCAGCGGAAGGCTCGGTCAGATGACAAAAAATTACCAGCTTGCGGATCTCAAGTGACATCGCGTATATAGGATACACTTGTCCTGTTTCCTGACGAAAAAAAAAGCATAACTTAACCAAACGCAACAAATTTGTACTTAATATTCACATGAATATTCCGCGACAGCGCTGTGCGACCCGTGCCGATTTACCGCTTAGTTTTGATTTCAATAATATCCAGTACTGATGCTTTTCTTTACAACCTGCATTAAGAACAATCTGCCTCTCAGTGTAGCTAGAGTTCTAGAAACACTGAGAACACTCACAGTGTCGTGGTTATAGCAGCATCAATGTAACCCAGGTGCTGGAGCCACAACACTCAGTGTAGTGGTTGTAGCAGCATCAGTGTAACACAGGTGCTGGAGACACAACACTCAGTGTAGTGGTTGTGGCAGCATCAGTGTGTAACAAGGTGCTGGAGACACAACACTCAGTGTAGTGGTTGTGGCAGCATCAGTGTAACACAGGTGCTGGAGACACAACACTCAGTGTAGTGGTTGTGGCAGCATCAGTGTAACACAGGTGCTGGAGACACAACACTCAGTGTTTAGTGTTTTGTGCAGCTTCAGTGTAACCAGGTGCTGGAGCCACAAACACTCAGTGTAGTGGTTTGTGGCCAGCTCAGTGTAAACACAGGTGGCTGGAGCCACAACACTCAGTTGTAGTGGTTGTGGCAGCACGGCAGCATCAGTGTAACACAGGTGCTGGAGCCCACAACACTCAGTGTAGTGGTTGTGGCAGCATCAGTGTAAACCAGTTGGCTGAAGCCACAAACAACTCAGTTTAGTGGTTGTGGCAGCATCAGTGTAACACAGGGTGATGGAGCCACAAACACTCAGTGTAGTGGTTGTATGCAGCATCAGTGTAACCCAGGTGCGGGGCACATCACTCAGTGTGTGGTTGTTGTGGCAGCTCAGTGTAACCCAGGTGCTGAAGACACAACACTCAGTGATGTTAGTGGTTGTAAGCTGCATTCAAGTGTTCCCAGGTGCTGGAAGACACAACACTCACAGTGTAGTGGTTGTGGCCCCAGCATCAGTTGTATCACAGGTGCTGGGAGACACAATCACTCAGTGTTAGTGATTGTGGCAAGTTCAGTGTAACACATGTTCTGGAGGAACAACTACTCTGTGTAGTGGTTGTGGCAGCTTCAGTTTAATCCAGGATGCTGGAGACACAACCACTTCTGTGTAGTGTTGAGGCAGCATCAGTGTAACCCAGGTGCTGGAGACACAACACTCACTGTGTAGTGGTTGTGGCAGCATCAACGTAACCCAGGGTGCTGGAGAACACAACTCTCAGTGTAGTGGTATGTGGCAGTTCAGTGTATCCAGGGCTGGAGACACAACACTCACTGTGTAGTGGTTGAGGCAGGCATCAGGTGTAATCCAGGTGCTGGAGACACTACACTAACTGTGTAGTGGTGTGCAAGCATCAACGTAACCCAGGTGCTGGAGAAGACACAACACTAGTGGTTGTGGTTGTGGCACAGAATCAGTGAATCCAGGGTGCTGGAGACACAACACTCACTGTGTAGTGGTTGTGGCAGCATCAATGTAACCCAGGTGCTGGGAGCCACAAACTCCAGTGTAGTGGTTGTGGAGCAATCAATGGTAACCCAGGTGCTGGAGACACAACACTCACTGTGTAGTGGTTGTAGCAGCATCAGTGTAATCCAGGTGCTGGAGACACAACACTCACTGTGTAGTGGTTGAGGCAGCATCAGTGTAATCCAGGTGCTGGAGACACAACACTCACTGTGTAGTGGTTGTGGCAGCATCAATGTAACCCAGGTGCTTAGAGACACAACACTCGTTGTAGTGGTTGTGGCCAGCATCTAATGTAACCCAGGTGTGGAGACACAACACTTCCGTGTTGTGGTTGTGGCTGCATCAATGTAACCCCAGGTGCTGAGAGGGACACATCTCTCACAAATTTACGTTAACGTCACATAAATCTCAATTAACAGGAAAACTTATTCCTGACTCCCCTAATTCAACTAACTTTTCCTGGGTAACACGAAGGTTACGTTACTATGTCTTAGTGATCTTGAACCATCGTGGGTGACACGAAGACCACGTTACTATCTTGGTGATCTTGAAGCAGGAGACACAGCTGTGGGAGAGGGCACCATTCTATAGTTTCCGGGCCATCCGTAGACCACAATTCAAGCCTGAGCAACATGGAACTTGACTAAAAGTTTCTCCTGCGAATCATAGGTTAATTGTGGATAAAACTATGTATTGCCCACCAGTCTGACGACAAATACACAGATTGGAAAAAAAAAAATCTTTTACCAGGACAAAGACCCAATCTATGCTAAACTTTATCAAGACAAGATACTCATTCTATGCAAAGCTTTATCAAGTCATTGATAGAACTCATTTTATGCCTCTCTACAATAGAGCCAAAACATTGTACAAGGGAAAAGCTATTTCTGAGTTAGCGTGAATGGGGTTCAGCCCCACGTTATTGCAAATGTTATTCTTGAAGACTGATTACGGAGTGCTATCACTTGTGAATACTGTGTTGTATTCTTGGTTTATGTAAATGCCAGTTATCACTATAACTCCAACATGAAAATATGGATCTGAGTCGCTGGGTTGAATTCGGTAAAAAATATAAAAGGATTTTATGTCTTCAGCACAGATTGGCGGACGTGAGAATAGATAGGGTATACTTAAGTATCATGGGCGGGCCTCCTAGTATTTTTACGTGATTAAGTGCCGCACTTTGTAGATCAGTGGAATTAAAATTTTATGATGGTAGGGACACTACGTTCTCCCGGAGATAAACAGCAGGTTCGACCCAGGTTTAGACCGCAGGTCAGCAGGGTAGACCCAGGTTGACCACTGTCAGCAGGTATTGACCAGGTAGTAGAACAGTCAGAGGTAGTTTAGACCCAGGTAGACCACAGTCAGCAAGGTAGGACCCTGGTAGACCAACAGTCTGCAGGTAGACCCAGGTAGGACCACTGCCAGCATAGAGGAAGACCCAGGTAGACCACAGTCAGCAGGTAGAAGACCCAGGTAGACCACAGTCAGCAGAGATTTAGACCCAGTAGTACCACAGTCAGCAGGTAGGACCAGGTAGACCACAGTCAGCAGGTAGACCTGGTAGACACAGGCAGCTGGTTAGACACAGGTAGACCACAGCCAGCAGGAAGACCCGGATGATCACATGTCAGCAGGTAGACTTTTAGATGGTGGCAAAATTAGATGATGGTGGCACTGTTAGATGGTGTGCACTATTAGATGATGGTGGCGCTACTACATAATGGTGACACTATTAGATGATGGTGGCAAAATTAGATGATGGTGGCACTGTTAGATGTTGCTGCACTATGAGATGATGGTTGGCGCGCTACAACTTAATGTAGCACTATTAGATGATGGTGGCAAAATTAGATGTGGCTGGCATGTTAGATGGTGTGCACTATTAGTGATGTGGCGCTACTTACATAAATGGTGACAATATTAGATGATGGTGGAAAAATTAGAGATGATGGTGGCCACTGTTAGATGGTGTGCACTATTAGATGATGGTGGCGCTACTACATAATGGTGACACTATTAGATGATGGTGACACTATTAGATGATGGTGGCACTATTAGATGATGGTGGCACTATTAGATGATGGTGGCACTATTAGATGATGGTGGCACTATTTAGATGATGGTTTGGCATAGTAGATGATGGTGGCACTTTGATGTGGTGAACACTAATTAGATTGATGGTGGCACTCTATTAGATGTGTGGCACTATTAGATGATGGTGGCACTATTAGATGATGGTGGCACTATTAGATGATGGTGGCACTGTTAGATGGTGTGCACTATTAGATGATGGTGGCGCTACTACATAATGGTGACACTATTAGATGATGGTGACACTATTAGATGATGGTGGCACTATTAGATGATGGTGGCACTATTAGATGATGGTGGCACTATTAGATGATGGTGGCACTATTAGATGATGGTGGCACTATTAGATGATGGTGGCACTATTAGATGATGGTGACACTATTAGATGATGGTTGGCACTATTTGAGATGGTGGCAACTTGAAGATGAATGGTTGGCACTATTAGATGATAGTGGAACTATTCGATGGATGGTGGCACTATTTGATGAGGTGCACTATTAGATGATGGTGCACTATTAGATGTGGTGGCCTATTAGATGATGGTGGCTCTATTAGATGATGGTGGCACTATTGATTGATGGTGCACTGTTAGTTGGTGTGCACTATTAGATGTGGGTTGATGGCTCTACTAACATAATGGTGACCACTATTAGATGATGGTTGACACATTAGATGATGGTGGCACTATTAGATGATGGTGGCGCTGTTAGATGATGGTGGCATACGGCACTATTAGATGATGGTGGGCACTTTTTGATGATCCGGTGGACACTATTAGATGATGGTGACACTATTAGATGGATGGTGGCACTATTAGATGATGGTGGCACTTATAGATGATGGTTTTCGGCACTATTAGATTTGATAGTGGCACTATTAGTGTGGTGGCATTATTAGGATGATGGTGGACTATAGTGTTGGTTGGCATTAATTGATGAGGGTGGCAACTATTACATGATGGCACTGTAGTTTAAGGACAAACAGGTGAAGTTGGGTGTAACTGATGTCCCTATTAGCTGGCCCACGCCTTGTCAGAAGACAGGTGTGGGGACTTCTCACTCTCCTTGCCGAAGACAGGTTGGGGGACTCTCACACTCACCTGCCAGAACGACAGGTGTGGGGGACAACACTCCTTGCCAGAAAGACAGTGTGGGGAACTCTCACACCCACCTTTGCCGAAGAAAGGTGTGGGGGACTCTCACTCTCACCTTGCCAGGAAGACAGTGTGTGGGGATCTCTCACACTCACCTTGCCAGAGAAAGGTGTGGGGAACTCCACACCCACCTTGCCAGGGGTAGACAGGTGTGGGAGATTCACACCACCTGCCAGAAAGAAGAAAGGTGTGGGGGACTCTCACACCCACCTTGCCAGAAGACAGGTGTGGGGGACTCGCCACACTCACCCCCTTGCCAGAAGGACAGGTGTGGGGTATCTCAACACCCACCTTGCCAGCAGGAAGTCAGGGTGGGGGACTCTCATCCACTCACCCTTGCCTGGAAAAGGTGTGTGGGGACTCTCAACTCACCTTGCATGAAGACAGGTGTGGGAAACTCTCACACCTCCTTGCCTGAAGTCAGGTGTGGGAGACTCTCCACACCCACCTGCCAGAAGACAGGTTGTGGGGGACTCTCACAACCCAATCTTGCCAGAAGACAGGTGTGGGAGGAACTTCACACCAAACTTGCAGAAGGACAGGTGTGGGGAACTCTCTCACACCACCTTCCTGAAGGACTAGTGTGGGGGACTCTCACTCTCACGATGCCAGGAAGACAGGTGTGGGGACTCTCACACTTCACCTTGCCAGAAGACAAGGTGTGTGGGGACTCTCACACTAGCATTACCACTGGTGTATACAAGCCATCATCATTTGCCTTTTCTCAGGTGCAAATGTTACTTGCCATCTGTTTCCCCAAGCTGATATAGCTCTTAGCTGGTGATTGATGTAGCTTACAGCAGCTGGCATTTCTTCTCTTGGATAAGTGAATGTCTGTGTACAGTCGTCTACATATGCATGGGATTCTGGGATGAGATGAAGAAGGTCGTTGAAGTAGACATTCCATAGCAATGGTCCCAGCACGCTTCCTTGTGGAACACTTACCCCAATAGGATGTCTTGCTGATTCCATTCCATTGAGAACTACCCTTAGAGATCTACCATGAAGGCAGTCACTGAGGAGACATAGAGTAGAGCCTGCAATTCCCAATGCTTGAAGTTTTGCTTAGAGGCCCTGGTGCTACACTCGGTCGAAAGCACCAGCAATGTCCAGTGCTAGCACACAGCTGACTTTGGATTCATCCAGTGACTGGTACCACTTAGTGGAGAGGTTTAACAACAGATCAGCAGCAGAGTAACCTTTCCTGAAGCCATATTGACGATCACAAAGTAGTGAGTGGTAGTCAAAAAACTCTGTCATTTGTCTTGAGATTATTGTCTCAAGGATCTTACCAGTGATTGACACGAGTGACACTGGTCTGTAGTTGCTGATTTCTGCTCTGCTCTTCTTTTTGTGAACAGGGACTATATTTGCTTCTTTCCACAGAGAGGGCCATTTACACTACTAGGCAGTGCTGAAAGATGCGAGTTAGAGGTGCTGCTAGCTGGTCTGCACATCTTCTCAGCAATCTTGGGCTTCAACTTGTCTGGGTCCACAGCCTTTTCTTGGTCAACGATTTAGAAGGAAATGCACCTCCTCCTGCCTTATTGTCACCACTGACAGTTTTGACACAGTTCTTGCAGCTAGCCAAGGAGGGTCCCTTGCTGGATCAGGAACTTGCATTTTGGTAGCAAAGTGTTCGGCAAAGAGGTCCGCCTTCTCTTGACTACTAGTAGAGGTGGTCCCATCCTGTCAATTTAGAGGTGGAATGAGTTCATCAGGCAGATAACCTTGTCTCCTTGACCAGGGACCACCAGGTTTTGGAGCCTACCCTACCTGATGCTAGCTTTCTTTTTGTGTCCACCTCCCATTTAGCAATGGCCCACTTTTGAACGTCACCCATATGCCTACAGGCTTGCGTGTGCAAGCTCCTGTTATAGGTGGTAGGATGTCTCTTATACCTTCGCCATGCTTTGTACTTAGCAGTAGCAGCCTCTCTACAACGAAAGCTAAACCAAGGCTTCGTCACATATTGCCGGTGAGGAATGTGTTCTTGTTGTAGATTAAGGATGTGTCCAGTGAAGGCTTTCACTTCTTCTAGCCTCTCTCTCTCTCTCTCTCTCTCTCTCTCTCTCTCTCTCTCTCTCTTCTCTCTCTCTCTCTCTCTCTCTCTCTCTATCTATCTATCTATCTATCTATCTAGCCTTTCTTCTACCCTCTCTCTCTAGCTTTTCTCTCTCTCTCTAGCCTCTCTCTCTCTAGCCTTTCTCTCTCTCTCTAGCCTTTCTCTTTCTGGCCTATCTCTCTCTCTCTCTGTCTAGTCTTTCTCTAGCCTTTCTTCTAGCCTCTCTCTCCCTCTCTCACCAAGGCGATGACTGAAGACGATGTGGACAAGAAATCAATGGAAAAGTCTGTTTGCTCTGCGCCCACATAACAAAGTTTGGATGCTATCAATGAGGCGCTCCGTTTTTGGCCGAATCCAAAACAAT